GTGTCATCCCAAGTCACCACCTCCTTTCGTCATTGATGTAGAAGTGAACGGTGTTAAGCTCGCATTTGTGCTAGATTCTGGAGCAGCTTGTTCATTACTTTCGAAAGGCGATTTCCATAAACATTTTGGGAGAATCAAGCTAAAGAAATGCAACGATCAGTTTGTCACATACAGTGGTGATATTGTGGGGATTTTGGGTGAGTTTAGTGCTTCAATTAAGTGTCGTGGACAGTCGCACAAGTTGCGAATTGTGGTTAGTGATACGCTTAGCCGCCCTGTTTTTGGTAGGGATTTTATGTCACTTTTTGGGATGGAAATAAGCACACTGAGTCAGTTAGATGATAGAGTAGCGTTTCTAAAAAGTAGATTTTCTACAGTTTTTGCTGAAGGGTTAGGAACGTATAAGGTGCATAAGGTTAAACTTAGTCTTAAAGAGGATGCAAAACCTGTTTTTTGCAAGCCCAGGCCAGTGCCATTGGCTTGGCGTAAAGAAATCGAAAGACAGATTCAGGATTTGGTAAAAAAGGGTGTTTTAAAATTAATAGAGGATTCAGATTGGGGTACGCCGTTAGTACCAGTGTTAAAGTCTAATGGTGAATTACGTATTTGTGGCGACTATAAGTCGACCATCAATAAGCACCTGCTAGATGTGAGGTATCCGTTACCTAGGATTGAAGAACTATTTGCTTCCCTTAAAGGACAGTTCTTCACCAAACTTGATTTGTCAAATGCGTACAATCAGCTTGAATTGGTAGAAGAATCCCAACGGTTATGCGCATGGAGCACACATTTAGGTATTTTTAAGATAACCAGATTACCATTTGGTGTTAAGCCTGCCGCAGCCATTTTTCAGAAAACTATAGAAAACGCATTGCGTGGTATACCTAATGTTGTTAATTACCTGGACGATATTCTTATATCAGGAGATACTATTGAAGAGCATAGTAACTCCATTGAAAAAGTTTTGAAAAGATTAGAGAGCGTGGGTTTGCGTTTAAACGCTAATAAGTGTGTTTTCTTTCAAAAAACAATTTCCTATTTAGGTTTTGATATTGATAAAAATGGTTTGTCAAAAAACCAAGATAGGATTTCAGCAGTCGTTAATGCTCCAATACCGAACAATTTATCTGAAGTTCGTGCATTTATTGGATTAGTTAATTACTATTCCAAATTTATTCCTAAGTTTGCTGAGATTATGGAGCCGTTATATGCATTGTTAAGAAAGGGTGTTAAATTCAGGTGGACAAAATCATGTCATTATGCCTATGAAAATCTTAAAAAGGAAATTACATCCGATAGATTCCTAGCTTCTTTTGACCCCAGTAAACCTATTATTTTACAAACGGATGCGTCAAATGTCGCTATAGCCGGGACCTTGTCCCACAGTTTTCCTAATGGAACAATTAAACCGATCGCTTTCGTATCTCGAGCGCTTTCGACAGCTGAACGAAATTATAGTGCTATTCAAAAGGAAGCACTAGCCATAGTGTTTGCAGTAACTAAACTGCGACTCTATCTGCTTGGTAATAAGTTTGTTTTGCAAACTGATCATAAGCCGCTTTTGTCAATTTTTGGTGAAAATAAGGGACTACCAGTAATGGCAGCAGCTCGTATTCAGCGATGGGCTTTGACATTGTCTGGATTTGATTATACCATCGAGTATGTCAAGGGGTCAGAAAATTTTACAGACAATATTTCGCGTATACCTCAAGATTTGCTTCCTTCTGTAGATACAGAGGAAAATAGTTATATAAATTTTATAACCAAAAATAATGAGCTAAATTTAGATTTTAAGGTAATTGCAAAAGAGACTGCTCGCGACCCCTGTTTAGCGAAAGTAAAAGCCGCTATTGAAACTGGGAAGTTACATTTGTTAAAAGACAAAATATTTTCGCCTTTTCAAACTAAAAATTTAGAGCTTTCGATTGAGTGCGGATGTATATTATGGGGTTTTAGAAGTGTAATACCTTATACTTTGAAAAACCGTGTTTTAAAAGAGTTACATGCATCTCATTTAGGCATTGTAAAGACAAAAGCTTTGGCTAGGTCGTATGTTTGGTGGCCTAATATAGATAAGGATATAGTAAATCTTATAGATAGATGTATTCCATGTAAAAAGGTTCAGCCTAGTCCAAAGAAAAGCCCACTAATTCCGTGGGAAATGCCTAGCTCAGTATGGTCGCGCATTCACATTGATTTTGCCGGGCCAGTCAAGAATGTTTACTTTTTAGTCGTAGTTGATGCATACTCCAAATGGGTAGAAATTTTTAAAACAAAGCAGATAACAGCGGCATTCACGGTGGAGAAATTAGAAGAGCTATTTTGTAGGTATGGTTTAGTGGATGCCATAGTAAGTGATAATGGAACCCAATTTACAGCATGGGAATTCCAACAATTTTTAAAGGATAATGGCATCAAACAGATTCTTACACCTCCAGGGTTTCCAGCTACAAATGGGCAAGCCGAAAATTTTGTTAAAACTTTTAAAAAATCTCTTGAAGCAAGTTTAAGCTCTGGTGAAAAAGGAAGTTTAGACATAGTGCTTAAGAGATTTCTATTTGATTATCGTACTATGAAGCATTGTACAACAAGAGAGTCTCCAGCTAAACTTATGTTAGGTAGAGAAATGAAAACGCGGTTCGATTTATTAAAACCACCTTTAGTGAAAGACAGAGTGAGAGAAAAACAACTTAGTAACATTCAAAACCATGGGGGTTCTAGAGATATTATTTTTACGGAAGGCACACCGGTCTTTATCCGAGATTTTTCAGACCCAAATAAGGTAGGATGGCAGGAAGCGGTAATTAAGGAGCGTTTAGGTCGACGAACATATGGTTGCACAATATCAAGAACTAATAGGGTGATTAAGCGCCACGTCGACCAAATGATGGCTTATAGTGGTAGTGCTATAAAAAATGACTTAACTACGAAGGAGTTGAACGGTGCTGCTGAAGAATCAAGTCCAAATGTAGAGTCAGCCGTCGCTACTACGGAAGGGTATGCGACTGAGGATGTAAATGTAGGTAGTGGTTGCTCGCGTCTGCGAGAACGTAAAACTAAGATTAATTATAAGGAATAATTCATGAATATAATTTAATTTATACGGAGTAATAATTTGTTGTTGAATATTTCATAATTATAATTATATAATTTTAAAGTGAATTAAAATGAATTTCAATTATGCTTTACATTTATATTTTATATTTTTTTTATT